ATAGTCCCGAGGACCAGAAAGTAATCGTTAGCACGAATGCTAGGTTCTTGGAAGAACCGAGATCAGAAGTAAGGTTGTTTGTAGGATATCCTAAGGAAACGAAAGGTGGTCTATTTTATAGTCCCGAGGACCAGAAAGTAATCGTTAGCACGAATGCTAGGTTCTTGGAAGAAGACTATGTCTTAGATCATAAGCCCAGTAGTAGACATGTTCTTGAGGAGTTAAAGGGATTGAGTACTTCAATACCGAGTGTGCTAGATATTACACCACAAAGTACTGCAACACATATCGTTGATGATTCACCTGAGCAGGTAGTACCTCGTCGTAGTGGGAGGGTTGTCCGGCAACCCGAACGGTTCATGGGTCTGGGAGAGTCTTCTGAGGCCGTCCCGGACGTTCTTGAATCTGATCCATGGACATACAATGAGGCACTCCAAGATCGGGACGCAAAGTCTTGGCAAAAGGCGATGAAATCTGAAATAGAGTCAATGAACACTAATCAGGTCTGGGATCTTGTAGAGCCACCCAGTGGCATTCGCGCCATTGGATGCAAGTGGGTCTATAAGAGAAAGAGAGGATCAGATGGGAAGGTTGAGACCTTCAAAGCTAGGCTTGTTGCGAAAGGGTACACTCAGAAAGAAGAGATCGATTATGAGGAAACCTTTTCGTCGGTAGCCATGCTCAAATACATCAGGATTCTCTTGGCTGTGGCCGCTCATATGGATTATGAGATTTGGCAAATGGATGTTAAGACCGCTTTCCTTAACGGGAATTTGGACGAGGACATCTATATGCAGCAACCAGAAGGATTCATTTATGGGCTGAAGCAGTCTTCGAGGTCTTGGAACATCCGTTTTGACGAGGTTGTCCAATCGTATGGATTTACCCAATGTCCGGATGAGCACTGTGTGTACAAGAAAAGTGATGGAAACGTGGTGGTGTTTCTAGTGCTGTACGCGGATGACATTCTTCTCATTGTAAACAGTGTGAAGATGTTGCCAGACGTAAAGGTATGGTTATCCAAGCAGTTTGATATGAAGGATTTGGGTGAAGTA